TGGGATTAATTATTTTTAAATAAGTAAAGTTGATATAAAAATAAAATTTGATTATTTTATATATTTTATATGATTTCATCGAGTATTAATCTATATTTAATCTACAAAAAATGTCTTAATTTATATAACTCAATTCTTTTATCAGTGCTTTTATATCTTGATCGATATTTATCATGCTGTCGTTTTATCTGTTTGGGGATGAATTGAGATGTACCGGATCCCTTTGAGCAGACGAAGATGAGCCGTACCGCTATCTACCTGCTCGTGAATTCTTCCATATCCAAAGATCATTCAAACTCATTCACTTACCTAAAACGGTAAAGGCTTTTGAATGGGGTGGAAACATGTAACGCTGTTATTAATGAATATTCATGCGTCCCATCTTAGTCGGTGGAAAATGTGAAGGTAAATCGTACAGAGGTTATCGAATGTTACAGTCCATTGTAATAATGAAATCCAATCATAGGTTTATCGTGGATTTTGCAATCGATGTTGTTGTTGTTGCTTTTTTTCATAGTATCAACGTTGGCATATACATTTATGGTAAAATATGATTTTTGCGGGAAGCTCGAATCGATTTCCACACTCGGATCAACCGTAATATTAGTTGCGCTATTGCGAAGCTTATCTTTTCTAGGCGAAATAGAAAAGGTGAACTCGTGTCCACCACAAGAGGAAACGGGAGCAAAAAAAAAAGAATTGTGGCGCGAATTTTTCGAATCGGATCTGAATTTGTGGTGACACATGTCTCCCGGTGAATTCAAAACTGTTACAGCGACGATCGCAGAGTTACGCAGTTGGCGGACCGCAATTTGTCAATCCTTTGTCTGCATCATTTTATTTTTTTGTTTATTTTTGCACAAAAGTCGTACTTAATTCGCGTTACTAATATCGGTCTGATGCAAAGGGAACTGAATTACGTCCCATGAATTGGCTTAACAAATTGATGCTTTCGCACAAATGCTGCTGCGTTGCATGAAATATTACGCTTTTAAAGCATATGAAATAATTACGCGTCTCGGAATTTCATTATTGCATATCCATTTATTTTCCATTATTTTACAAATTTTCTGAGAAATTTTCCATACAAAGTAATCTAATTTTAGTTAAAATATGAAAATGTAATTAATTTTAATAATAATAAATTGAAGCTGCTAAATAAACAAAAAAAATAACATCATTAAATAGTCAGATGACAATTTGCAGATGACGTGATTCTTATTTCACCTCATGATCTAGTGATGACGCAAACATGAAAATATACTTGAATCAACCAATCAAATTGCATGGAATTATATCATTGTCGAAGAGGTTTTTTTTTAAATATTAATCTTTACCAACCTTTTCCCCACATTATGAACACTCAAACCTTATTCACCCTTTATTGAACATATATATGTAATTTTATATTAGAAAAAAACTGTCTTGTAGGGCCTCGGCTATAAATAGATGACAATCACTGTAAATAACTGAAAAGCATCAATCTTTTTTATAGAACAAAGAAACATTAAAAATAAATCAGTTCTATCATCAAAATTATGAAGAAAATGAATTCCTACAATCATTTTTTATAAGAAAGAATTTGTACTGCTTATTTAAGAAAAACTTTTCTTTCGCATGAACGTACTCAATTTTCAAACAAACGTACCTTTTTCCTTATCAATTCTATTAAAGTCCAATCATATCACAGGATTTACAGACAATATTAACCAGACTAATCGAAGTCTTTAAAACGATAAATTTATGTATACATTTTGTGTGTATTATATATACGAAACTTTATTTTGCTCAATTTAAATTTAGTTTACCTTGAATATTTCAAACCGTACTATAGTAAATCCGCACTGATTGAAACTGCACTATACTATCAATTGCTGTACTTATTTTTTACAAGATCGAACTTTATAAAAAAATAAATAATATCTATATCTTAAATAGAAGTCACTTCATAGTCGCCTTACATCATTGTACGCTCATGCGAACACTTGTAGTTCGATCAAAGTCATATAAAGCCATATACTTTTGTATATGCTACATTAGTGAGCAGTGATTATCAATTAAAAAAAAAACGAAAACATAAATTAAACACTATATTAGTTGTTAAATAATTATTTCTAACTTGTAACTTAAAAAATGTATAACATATTTGTGAAACTGAACTTGTTATATAGAATATATTTATAAAATAAAGCAACCAAATTTTATATTGAAATACTTCATTAAATTCAATTGAAATGTTGTAAAAATTCATAATATAAAACAAAAACTTTCAATGTTTTGTGTATACATTTTATAGTAATAAACTGAGGCTTTATTTCATTAATTTTGCACTATGAATTGTTAAAATATTGGTATCATTTACGTACTGATTAGTTACAACATTCGGTATTATGAAAAGTAAAAAATGAAGTTGGAAATTGAATAAATTATTATAATTTTTAATTGGGGTGTTTTAGTTTGTGCCCGAACAAAACGAAATTTATTCTCGCCCGGGGCTCCCTTAAAGTTTTGGACGTACATTAATTAAAATTGTACATTTCTATAAACTTACTTTGCTTTGTTTCCTATACGAACTCATTAGTTCTCAAATAATTCTAAAATTTATAAATATATACTTTTTATGTCATGTCCATCAAAATAAATGAATTTTGTACTATATTTATTTTAATTAAATTTATTCTAATGATGTAAACTTAGCATATGTAGCTGTAGATACGATGTTATTACTTTATGTGTAAATATGATAGGAAAATTAATTTTTCTACAAAATTTGACCATAAAAGTGAATTCTTCGTCTAAGAGAAGTTTTCGTTCAATGAATGAAATCATTGTATACAAAAATTAAATACATCTTTTTTGTTATAATTACTAGAATCACAAGCAATTAAAATTATTTCAAGTTGATGAAAAATATAGTTATTTCAAGCTGTTCAAGCAATTGACGTATTGTATCAGTCAAATAAAATGTATTTGTATAAATTAATAAATATATTAAAATTATTATTTGTATTGTGACTTTACTAATATTTTCAACATTTTTTTTTGTAGACAATTCAGAATATGAAATAAAATTAAATGAAGCTGAAAAATGTTAATGCAAACAAGCATTTCCGGTGCTAATATATATTTTTTTAATATTTACTTCGGAATTCACCGTAAGCAGGATGTCTGACTTATCTGGAACACCTTGTACGCCTTATTTGAAAATAAAAAAAATAAAAAAGAATTTTCAAAGAGATTTCAAGTCGATTTCAATATGAATAGCAATTTTAATTAAGCAAATCTGATTAACTCTTTATAAGTATTCATAAGTTTGAAATATCGCTTATACCATTCAAAGAATGTAGTAATTTATTAATTACATTTAACTTATTTATTATTAATAACTGTATCATGTATTAAATTAATCTTTTATTTAAAATGATGATGTTTCTTTTTATTGTATAAGATTTACAATAAAAATGAAGATTTTAAATTAAAATAATAATACAAAAATTAGAACAATTTTGGTCATTCCGCTAGAAAATTATAATGTTTATATTATTTTTATCTTGTTAGACATCATTTTCATATTTATTGCAGATTTAATTAGTCCCCCGACTTACAAACTAGTTCTGTTCCAAAGGGTTGTTTGTAAGTCGAATTTGTTCGTAAGACGGGGGAATAAAAAAAATCAAAATATACTGATCTTTCACCACTTTATCATTGTTTTTACTTTTATATATGTTAAATTCCGTATTACTGACTGCATACATTTGAAAAAATAGATTAAAATAAACAAAATACTTTTACGAATACAATTATTTAATAAAAAACATCAAAGAAACAAATGCAATACAACAGATAGTACATCTTTCAAAAATATTATATTTTATTAAAGAAATTATCAATTTTTGTTGTGATAGTTTTCTTTCTGATTATCTCCTTGTAACCTTGTCTCCTTTTAGAATTTTGTTCTTATGTCCGGGAGTTCGTATGTCGGGGGATACCTGTATTATTAATACTTGTAGCAGTTTTTCTGGGATTTGCATAAACTATTTGGAATGTATTGCCTAGTGAGTTTAATTTAATAACATACGATGAATAAACCATATTGAATGATTTATGAATGACTTTTATATTTTTCTATAAACATATTACTCTCATTAAATTTACTCTAAATTTCCTAATTACCTTACAAGTTTGTACTCAATAATGTTATTTACAAATATTAATGTTTATGTGCTTAGTTTGTTATTAGTTTTAGCTACAATTATTTTGTAACTTAGTTTATTCTAAAATATATATATATTGATGCGTTTTTTAATCTTTTTTTCTCCTAAAAACAGAAATCTTTATATTTTTATTTCAAACTTTCCTAGTATTTATTTGTTAAATTTATAATGAAAATTTGTAAATAAATAAAAAAAATACTGTTACAATAAATATAATTATTATTTTTAATACTTTTTAATAGAATTTGTATTAGTTCATTTTGTTTGCGAATATCACAAATTCATTTATGAATAATTTGGTATATAAAAATGTAAAAATTAAATAAATTTTCATTAAACTATTTGCATTAATTGAAGCTTCTCCTAAATTCAATTTCTAGATTATTTGATTATGTAAATCTACCAAAAACTACCGAAAAGCGTTTTCAGATTGGACACGAAAACGAAAAATATAATTAACAAAATAAGAGTAAAAACCAACACTGATAAGTCAATGAAATCGGTCTGCTAGCTTTATTAGTCATTTAGTTTGAAGGAATGTTAAGTGCACTATTTTTTCTCCTTCAACATCATCTTAATTTTACAACCTAAATTGTTATGTTTTATGGGATAAACGGACGAAATTACGAGTGTTTGGCCTTATTTCTTCACGATTCTTTTCTCCTTCAAGTGGTGCTTCTTCTTCGCGTTTATTTATTAAGTTTTCTTTTTTTTCAGTCTATTCGTACTCTATTCACCACTCTGTTTTGCACAGACGCTTCAAGTAGCAGACCTAATCTTAATTGTATGATCATCATCCGGGCTGGTATTTCCGAAATCTACACAATCCCACCGCCCATTTTCCAACTGGGCTTATGTCACAGGGCATTTATCAAATTTCTTCTCTTTTTTTTCATCCTCTTCTTCTTCTTTTCTTCGTTGTCTCAAAGCAGTTCTAAATGCACACACATACACACACACTCGACCACATACATACACTTGTTAACTGGAGGCAGCCTCTGTACCAAAGAGCGTAAGTTCAGTCGTATCTCGGCGTTGTTCTAGTAAACATCGAACTCATACACACGCACACGCACATATATATACTACACACGCGACTGATGATAGCTTGACACTATGTGGTGATCCTTCAGTTCTTCTATTATTTTATTTTGTTCTAGTGACTTTTATACCTCGCGAAAACATCCGAGCATTGGGACTACTTGAATAAGGTAAACACAAAAATATATAAAATAATTAACAAATTAATATTTTAATTAAAACAAACATATTTTCTTCATTTGTTACCTAAAATAAATCATATTTATGAAGAAAACAACATACATTTGATTTTTCTTTATATTTTTGTAATTTCATTGAAATGAATCCAAATTTTGTAGCATTTCTTAAAATATTAAAACAAACGGTTTAAATTTGTTTTCTTTTTCTATCTTCTGCAATTTATTATAACAGATGTGATACATTTGAAATAAAATTTTATTCAAATTTATTAAAATAATTTTTAATTATTGATAAAACCAACGGTTTTATTTTATTTCCTTTTCATTCATCTACGATTTAAAATTTTAATTGATCTGTTTGTGTAATTAGCGAATTTGACCTATGGATGTTCTATGATATTCACTGAGTAATAATGTAATACTACAACAAAATATTTATGGAACGTGTGAAGACTCGTGTGAAGATAATCATAATTTCCGGATATTTCGCAGTTGTTATCAACTTCCGTTTTTTCTTTCTTCATCTATCTCTATCTTCGTTTCACATTCATTTCTCTTCAAGCGATCGTTTTAATTACTTCATCTTCATTAATTTAATAATTAAGAGCGTGGATTCAGATTCGCGTTTTTTGGTGTTTAACGAAACTTGAACTTTGTTAATAAACATCTGATAGCATTTAAAAATTTTGATAAAATCCATCGAAAAATAAAAATATTATGCGTATGTAAAAGTTTGCAAAATTTTAATTTTGAGTTTATCGCTTGTTTCCAACCAATTTTAAGAGTTATATCGATATATTCCCAAAAACTCTTGATTATATAATTATATAATGTGTGTAATATTGAACTTTTTACTAATTATTTGTTGATTAATCTCTCAATTAATAAATATATAATTTAATTATATAATTGGTTCAATTTTATATTTACTAATTAACGTAAATATCTTTGATGGACTTTTATGTTACTCATTTTTGTTATAAGATTATTATAATTAATTTTTTAATGATTTATTATATAAATGTAGGAGATTTGGTGAAGATTTTAATGAAAAATAAAATATATAAATACTTTGTAGTAAAAATTTAAACAATGATATAATTAATTAATTAAAACTTTTTTAATTCATTAATTACTAACTTATTCTAATCTGTAATAAATGTAAAGTATTTTTATTATATTTTAAATTTTAAAATAATACAGGTTTCAATTAATGTAATAAGATTTCTACGTTACATATTTTGGTATAACAAAAGTATAATTTGTATTAACAAACTTGTTAATGCCGTAATTCCTTGTAATTACTATAAAATACATTACTTCTTGTTAAGAAATATGAATTAAGACAAAAATATTCACTGTAAATAATATTATTTTTAGGACTTCTGTACTTTTTTTTCTTAATGAAGAAAATTCAATAAATTTTTGAATAAAAACTTTTTTAATTAATTAATTACTAACTTATTCCAATCTGTAATAAATGTAAAGTATATTTATTATATTTTTAAGTAATACAGATTTCAATTACTGAAATAAGATGCGTATTACTCTTATAAATTTTCATAAATTTCTACCTTACAAATTTTGATATAACAAAAGTATGATTGTAATAAATCAATTTGTAAATACCGTAATTTCTTGTAATTACTATAAAATACATTACTTCTTGGTAAGACATATATTCTTGGTACAAAACATATTTTTGCTTTACTATTTTTTTTCTGTATATTTCATAATTATTAGATTGAAATAAATGTATAATTCTAAAGACAGTAATACCGTAAATATGTAGGAATGATAACTTATACAAATAGGTTTATATTAAATAGAAATTTGAAATGCAGCAAACAAACATATACATATAACACAATTAACTAAAATGCTCGTTGATAAATCTGCAAGCAGAAAGGAAAAACAGACAAAGGGAATTATCGCATGAACCCATTTCGCTCTTTAAAAAATGAATCGTAATATTAGTTCTGCGATAAGCTGAATTACATAATTTAGAGCTTGCTATCTTCTTTTGTGCTTCAGCTACCGACAAAAAAATTATTTCTATGCATAACGTGCACTTTGCATGCGCCACATTTGATTCCTAATTTCAGGGAAATACAATTTGCACGTGCTTATCTGCGCTACGTCAATATTTGAGTGTCAAAAAATATTATTGACACACATATGAAACTATACTTAGAATGTTTATTGCTGCTAATTTAATTAAGTCATAAAGAATTAATACAAATATTATGTAAGAATTATTCTCAAATAATGCTACTCGTTAAATTATACAACTATATATCAAATATTCAACTTAAAAATAGAAATGTTAATGAAATTATTTTCATTAATTGTTTATCAAGTAAGTTCAATATATTAATGTACAATTTGTCGTATATAAATAGTGTTTATTAATCTTTTTTTTAATGTAACAAAAAGTGGATAATTGTTTTTAAATATTAATTTTGCGGACCCCCGGCTGCTTTTCAGACCTCATATTGAGAAGCGCTATTATATATAATTTATTAGTCCGTTGCGGTTTTTTTTTTAATTGAAAATATGAAGTGGTTATATGAGATTGAAAACGCCACAAGTGTAATAAATCTTAAGGAAACATTTATTCTATATACTGTGTATATTAGCAAGAGTTAATATTTAATAATCGGCAATATCTGATCTTATTTAAGAAATATTGAATATTTGATTAAACTTGATGTAATTAAATATGTTAATTAATTAGAAAACATATTGTTTTGTGATTTTTCAAAACAGATTTGATATTAAGATTAAAGTAAGTAAGTAAGATATTGAGACAATATTGTAAAATTGATGCTTACATTTTTAATTTTAATATCACAAAAAATTTAAAAAAAAGAAGTAATCGCAAGTTTTAAGTAGTAATTAATCAGTGGAAATCTTAGAAATTTCAAAAATAAATTGAGTTAATTAGTTAAAATTAGGTTTTCTTGATAGAATGATTATTTAATAGAAATTTCATATCATGAGCAAAATTATAAGAACATTTTCAAAAATTCACAAAATTATATGTTTTTTTATTGATTATGTAGAAAACATACAATATCCCGGACTGTTGAAACCGGATTGAACGAAGAACTAAATACTGCATAAAAAGGAATGAAAAAATTACGAAAAAGACTTAAAATTTAATTTGTTTTGACAATTTCTAAATGGATTGATCATGGTTGTTTAACAGAAAATTTAAAAACAAACTTGATTTGTTTTAAAAATGAATAAATTAATAAAATGAGAAAATTATTTCGTAAAGTGAGAAATTATTTTAACCGAATTTATACATTTTATGTAAAAACAATAAATTATTCATAAAATTTGAAATTAAAAAAAAAACGTATTTCCTTATTAAAAATAAATTTAGTTGTTTGTATTATAAATATGATATAAAAATATCAAAATTTTAGTTGTTTCAGAATTAATTATTTACGATTATTTACGAAGGAAATTAAAAAGTAAAGTGAGACCTTATAAATGCTACAACTTCTTGCTAGATTCTAAATATGAAATATTCGAAGAAGTAAATACTGCACAAAAAGGAACGAAAAACGAAAAATTTTGTTTGTTTTGAAAATTTCTAAACGGACTCATCGATGCCGTTTAATAGTAAATTTAATAACAAACGTGATTATGTGTATAGAACATTATTTATCATCTGAATTTGTCTTAAAATTGAAGAAATTAAAAAGATGAGAAATGTATTTCATAAATTGAGAAATTATTTTATACAAATGTATGACTGAATGTATTAAATAAAATTAACGTGTTATAAAACATACATTTTATGTAAAAACAACAAATTATTAATAAAATTTGCAATAATAAAGTTTGTATTTATTTATTTAAAATAAATTTGATTGTTTTTAGGAAAAAATTGTTACATCTTTATTTATTTCCATTAAATTTAATAGAAAGAATGTCAAATTATTTGTACTTTAAGTTTTTTTTAATATTATAAGTAAATAACTTCTTAGTTATTTAATAATCTTATTTATAAGTTAACGAGAGAATAAATTCTTAAATTATTCAAGTTATTCTCAATATTTTAAATTAATTTAAATCTAAGAAATAATGTTAAGTATTAAATTATCGATAATAATTAAGCAAATTAGATAATTATGTTATATGTGAATAATGATGATAACCCAAAAAAATGCGTTTAAAAATAAATTATTAAAACGTTTAAAAGTTGATATTCACTAAAATATTTGTTTTTATTCTTAAATGTTAGTAAAAAGATTGGATAATTGAAACTTATAGGATAATTTTTCATTAATTATTTTTTATTGTTCTCATTTTTAATTGTATCTGATGATAAAAATCCGCTTATTGGTAAATTAATAAAAGTAGTTTATAGAATTAAGTAAGTAACGAGATGATGAATAATTGGTACACAAACGTTTAAAAGCATTCCTAAATAAGACAATGCATCGCGAGGCGGCAATTAGTGCGTAAAAAGAGGTACTATTAATAAGCATTTTTCTCATTAATTGAGTGAATTAAAATGCCATAAATTCTTCGGTTAATTCGAGAGTCCGTAGCGTCCGTCCATTAATCCATTAAGCCTCGGTACATTGGAATCAACAGCACATGCAGTTGATTGCCGTACTACAGAAACAAGTCAATTTAGTGAATCCATTCAGAAGGATAAAAGAAATATAGTAAGAAGCATATGAAGTGAATAAGAAACAAACAAAAACGGTCGTGTGTATACTGCGAATGCGTTTCCTCTTCTACAAATCGAACATTTCGAATACGAATGAATTAATACTTTAAAGTCATAATTATACATCACGCACATGAGTGTGTTTTGTTTTCGTATGTGTATTTTATAGCGCTTTTTTTTCATTTGCATCCATCTCATACGCCATTTACATCCTAGCCTTGACAAGCTTCATCATTAATTCATGTAAAATAATGTAAGTCTGTAATAACAAAGTTTCAACCTGAATCGAATCTGAAAAATAAACGAGCGGACGCTCCATTAATTAAGTGATCATTGTAATTAACAGGTGATCTTGTCTTGTTTTCAGCGGGAAATGATGCCCATCGCCCGGAAAGGACTGATGTCCTGGGCAGTCCGATGGTTCGTGGCTTCTGCGTTGATTGTGATCAGCTCGGCTGAACCACCGGCAGCACCCAGGGATGATCAATTGCAGCCCGTCACACCAGGAGGGTAAGTCAAAGCTATATCAAGTAAAGAATGAAAGAAGAATAGGATTTGATTTGATTTTGGGTCCGGAAGTCGTGGCTTCGAGGACGTTTCTAAAGACTGAATGAAAATGTAAATGAAGTGGTGAAAACGTAGTAATATTGTGTGAGCATTGTGCACGATGCTCCATCGAGCATATCCCATGGTGTTATTAGCATGTTTATAAACTCGGTTTCCTCCGGTGGGTGTGTCGAATGCATCGACACCGGAATAAATAATCCCTCGAACGATTACACACAAAGATATCATTTCCATTTACAAACAATAACAGTTTTAGAAAAAGAAAAAAAGAGTATATATAGTAATGCAAAGAGGAAAAATAAGGTTGAATTAATATATCTTGAGAATGCATGTATTTTACTTTTCAATAGATACGTGATGTTCGTTACAATCGAGAGGAACTAAAAGCCTACTACTATTTTTTTTATTCAATTTGTACATTTATTAACAATAAATTCACGTTCAATGTCTCCACACTAAAGCATAAACATAAAGTATTGGAATCCTATTTGTAATCCTACTTTACTTCCAATAAAATTGATATTATTCACACGAAACATAAATAAACATACCTTTCACTTTACTTAATTTTATTGACATAAAATTCTATTATATTTATTACAATTGTTAATGATACAAAATCATATTTATTAAATAAGAAATTAATTAATTATAGAAACTTCGATATTATTCAATTAATTTTTTATTTGTGATATAAAAAAATAGTAATATTGTATAAAACGTAATTTTATTCAAATGTTATAATTATATATAAGCAAAATATTTTAAATACGGCTTGCCGAGAAGAAAAAATTAAATATTTGGATAATTAAATCAAATAAATAAGACGAAAATTAAAAAGTTACTACCTTTGATATGAAATTAACCTGATGTCAATTTAGATATATAATTTAATTTTTAAGCAAAATCACATTACCTTTTTTCTTCTAACATTGTAGAAAGTGTAAAATATTTTGTATTTAGAAATTAGATGTGTATTAAGTTATTTTCATTAACAAATATCAAAATATTTTCGTACAAATCAAACACAATACATTATTCAATTAAATATAATAAATTTAAAAAAATATATAGACCTAATAAGTTCAATGAGAATTGTGAGCAATTGAAATATTATGAAATATAAAAATAGTTTTTAAATAATTATTTCAATTTACAGTTGATATTTTATTAATAAATAATAGATATAATTATTTTTTTATAAATCTTCTTGAAGTTCAAATGCTTATTTTTTTCTAAAAGAAAGTAATTAAATTAATAATCTGCTATAAAAATGTCTCTTGAGACTTGTCGTTGTTTGTAGAGGAAAGCTTTGAACTGTCCCAGACAGATACTTCTTTTATTAGTTGTATGATTGTATTCCTTTGTATACAACTCTCGATTGACTTTAAATACGCAATGCAAACAGCGTAAAACCATTTGACTCTACTGCCATAAATCAAGTCAATAATATTGACTTTCTTGCAGTGTTTGAACGAAATAGTGAAGCAGCTTGCACTTGCTACTTACTCTCTTTTGAGTCGGCAAACAAAGTAAGTGCGAGAACGAGCGAACGAACGAACAATGAGGATGATGGAAAAGAAGCCGAAGGAAAGAAATAAGAAGTTGAGGAGAAATATGTAAGGGTCTCCCGCTAATAAAGAAAACTAGTTTCGCTATTTTATGTGTATTTGTATGCAATGTTTATTTATGCTAAATAACATTATTACCATACCACCGAGACTTGAAGGATGTTTGTACGCAAGCATCAAAGAAAAATTGTGTTCTGTTTGTTGTGGGATGAGGCGCCGGAGCCACTCAAGGCTGTAATTTCTTTCATTTAAGGCCCGAATATCCAACGGACTGCAAGATCCATTCATTCATTCATACCTGATAACAGGCCGCAGCTGCCTACGTGGCCGAATTTTGAATTCTGAATCGGTCTACCTAATTCAACCTTCGTTGGAATTATATAACGCTTTGGTTTAGCTTGGAATATATAAATGTATTCCTCCTAGTTCTATTATTGTTTTTTTGGTTCTCTTTTGTCGTTGCGTAGGAGAAAGAGCTTGCATGCAAATCATCGAAGAGTTATTCGCCGGTCAATATTCAAGGTTTCCACAATTGATTCCATGCACTGCACCATGAATTATTTATCAACGGGGCTTATGAATGAAATGTAATGAAAACATATGAAATATATTTTGCGGATGTACTGAAAAATGTACGGGCGATTAATGGATGCGATAACCCAACCCAATGGCTTTGAACTTATGCGATACGAGCGAGATGAACGTAACAAAAAAAATATGTTATAGAAGTAGTAAGGAAAACGAAATACCGCATCGGAGGAAAAGGAAATTTGCTCTGCAATTAGTGATAAATCGGAAATGGAATGCATTCGTTTCTCGAGACGCTCCAAAATTGATGAATTATTTGTGGTTAATCTATAATGATGCAAAGAAAATCAATCTGAGCGAATTCAATCAAAAACTGTTCGTTCCTAATTGATTGCAACATTAAAGCGACGAGCGATCCCAACTGAGTAAAATCGTAATGCAGATGAGGCTCCCTCGAGTGCAGATTATTATTTCATTATTTTCAAGTCGGATTATTATTAAGTTAGTCCTGCAAACTACATTGGAATATTGGAATATTACTATTATTAGTAATTAATTTGTAGTATATTTGTATTATTTAACACTTTATATAATTATTCTATACATTATCTAGTTATTATATATCGTACAATATGCAATAAATAGATAACTAGTAGATTGTAACTTGATGATTATATAGAATAATACTAACCTAACTTAACTACGAGTTAAGATTTCAGTATTATTTTTGAGGTTAGATTATACAAATATTAAATGAAATAATTTCATTACGCACTGATCATTGTTGTCTGTTTATTTCGAGGTCGTATTATGCTTATGGTAGTCCTTTCCATCCGTTCTACCTGCGAACAATATTTGAGATATTCTTTAAGGAAGTAAATAATTGATGCACGACTGGACGCGATATTGCTGTTCTCGAATGGTACTTGGATGCACCGTGTGGTTGTACCTCTCTCTACTCGCCATCTCCATCTGCTCCGGAGAACAATTGGATGGCGCTAAACGAGGCCTCCGCATCTTGTCCTCGTTAAAACAACGGCGATAATAGATATGAGCGTGATTTACGGCCTCTCGGAGTTAATGTAACGAGTTAAGCAGATACGCGGTCTGCACCAAAGGTGCTAAGTAATGGTATGGCTGTACCAGTGCATAGCTATATACCTCCATCCCCATTCGAGCACTATGAACGCTAATTGTTCGCATCATTTTCTGTAATTAAATTCCGCAGTTTGTTATATAGCAATTGCATCCTTCTGTAATGGATGATTAATTTGATGGTCATAGTTGTTTATTATCTACCATAATACTTTGGCTATACAATGTTTAAGATTTTACTATTATTAGTGTGAGGATATATATTTTATACACAACCAAGTAATTTAATAATAATGGTTTATTGATCAATAATAAATGGTATAAATGACAATAGATTTGGAAAGTAAACAAAGATAGGTACTAGCGAAGATACAGTAGTTATAAAATCAAGAAGCAACAAATCTTCCTCTAAAACTTCCTTAAGTACTTAAGTAAACGTTATTTGATAAGTTACTCAACAGTTTATAGTTTACTAGGAAATAAATCCATCTAATATTTTTATAGTTTCTATAGAATATTCAGAAAAAACGCGAAGAAAAATTAGCAAATAAATAAATAGTAAAATACTATTATAATTACTATATAATCTATAAAAGTTTAATTATTAGATGCAGTTATGTTGTTTGTTAGAAATATAATTTAATAAAAATGATATTTCTGAGAATGGTAACAAAAAAACCTTGAAGATAAACATAATATTATATATAAAGGAGATTCATTAGACTAGGTAATTAAATTTTATGTATACTAACTTTTAATAATCTAAATTGATTATATTATTTTCAAGGACAATTATTATTATCAAATTTTAATTTTATGAATGTATAAATTTTCGCGATATATATTTTTATATAGTTGCTAATACTTTTTCGTGTTATATTAAATCTTCTAATAAATAAACATTTTTTTACTAATTAATTCTTAATTCAAATCAAAATATTCTTAAAGAATTATTTTTTGTAAGACATGAACATAAAACGTGTTAAAGAAAATTTCAGATAATTCTATTTTGTACGTTTTAAGCGAATTGCTGGACTATAAGTGCAATTCGCGTAATGATCGAGTGGCGCCTTCAAATTACATAAATAAAAAGGGCTTTTGCCATCTAACTTGGCAGATTGTAGAGAGATTACGCAGAGTAAGATGAGATTAGTACTTTATTGCTTCAAATTGAGCATTCGGAGTGGATTATTATTTGTGCCTCTACTGTACCTATTCCTGTTATTTTCTACTTACCTTTAGTATAAGTTTAGCTAATGCAGGAACGATTATATTTCAATGTAATACATTAATTATATAAATTATAATAATTTATTACATTTAATTAATTCATATAAATAAGTAAGTTAAATATTATCAATATTCTTTTACAAGTACATTTTATTTATAATAAATGCAATGTCTCGCGTAGTCCGGCATCGATCAGTCGAGATTAACTATAGTCCGTTTGAAAGATTTCAAAGCAAACTAAAACTAGTAGTAGACAAAATTATTATTTATTTCTATTTTAATTAGTTCTTCGATTAGTCCGGTTTCAAACAGTCATGTTCATGTAAGAGATTCGACTGTTTGCTTAAGAAGAAAAAAGTACGTTCACATGGATGTGTCAAGAATCTATAAATATGGCGATAACCCCGCAATCGCTGTAATCTATTTTAAAATTCCACAAAACTCTCGTAATAATAATAAGGATGAAGATGATGATCGTTTACAAAATACTGTGGAAAAGATGAGAAATGCGAAACGGCA